GAAACTGACAACACTAGAAGATAAACACAGATATCAAACATAATCCTCAACCTGAGGACTTTCACTGAACCTTGGATATATTAAGCTTCTGTTGAGTCACTGAATTCGGAAAAGAGAATAAAATCTAGGGATGTATAAGCCAGGGAATCTAGTAGGACAACACTGCATAAAACTGAGATTCTGGAGGATACATATTTAACATAAGAATGAGTGAGAATTTCTAGGTACATTGGAAGAAAATACAAAGACAATCTGCCTCTCTCTCCTTGACACTGAGTAAAAGAAAACATATATATATATATATATACCCTCTAGAATCATATCCCCATGATGTCCTTCACCCCCATTGTTGCAGTAAATTCACACACACACACACACACACACACACACACATACACACACACAAAACGTGGGATTCAAAACAAAGCAAGAATGTCCACCATTTCAAGGCATTACTGAAACATGACATGAAAAGAAAATATAAAGCACACAGTTTGGAAAAGAAAAAGTAAACAAACTTATTTACAGAAAACATGACTATGTATGCAGAAAATAATAAGTAATCTACAAAACAGCAATTAGATCTAATAAGCCAATATAGTAAGATTGCAGGATAACCAGTCAACATACTAAAATCAATTACATTTCTATATGCTATTGGCAAATACTCTAAAAATAAATCTATTAAGTGACATCATTTACACTAACATAAAAATAAAGGTTTAGAAATAATTTAAGAAAATAGGTCATGATTGTATTTAAAATCAAGATTTGGTATCGGCAGTGTTAAGTTTTTTTTTTTTCTCTGTAATTTTGAGTATATCTATTGTTCATCACTAAATAAAAAGAAACATTATAATATAGAGAAAACTTCAACCATTTGTTACTAAACTATAATGCAAGGCTCAATATTCAGACCTGAGCTCCAATTTTACTTCATACTGAAGGCTTGCATGGTTACCGAATTTGGTGAAGTTCCACAAACACAACATACACACATGCATGCTAGTAACTCTCTATGGAGCCTGTCACATTAATGGCTCTCGATTAACACAATACCTGATAACCATGCCCTTGTGTAGCCCCCTCCCATATTGGCTCTGAACATCACCATAGAATTGTATAAGCCAATGGGACGATCAGCAAATTTGACACAAAAAGATTTAATAATCCTTATACACGGGAACTTGCCCTCTTTTTGTGTTGTGACCATCATGTAAAGAAGAACTGACAAACTTATTGGGGAGGCCCTTTCAAAAGCCATCAGTAACTTCTAGACATGTGAATGAAGCGATGTTGAACTTTCAGCCTCAGCCAAGCCACTACCTGAGTATAGTTGCATAAGGGACCACAGATGACATCAAATGATCAACTCAGCTCAAATTATCAATCCAGCAAATCAGAGCAAGTAGTAAGAGTAACTTTAAACCACTAAGATTGAAGGTGATTTGATGCATGGCAATCTGTAACTGATACACACTGTGTAGTTTTATTTTCTTCGTGGCAGCAAGTACTATCTTGAAATGTCAAGTTTATTAATGTATTTATGTATATATTTACTTTATCTTGTGTACTGATTTTCCTCAATAGAATATAAGCTTTATAATATGAGAAGCCTTATCTATCTGGCTCACTATTGTATTTACATGGCCAGGAATATTTAGGGTACATCTTAGATATTTAAGCAATATTTTAACTTAATTTGAATAAATAAAAGTGCCTTTATTCCAAAGAATTCCTGGCAATTTATTTCTCTGGAATAGAGCTTCGACTGCCATATTCTGTTGCTCAACTCCAGTGAGTATCAGAAATATAGAACAGGCATGTTCAAAACTCTTACTATAATAAAAAAAATAATAAATTAACTTGAAAACACTAAATATAACTATATAATATACATAATACATATAATATATAATATACTATCTATAACACATTCAATATACATATTTAATACATATAATACATAACAGTGTATGCTATGAATATATTATACAACCATAATAATATAATACACAAATAACATAAGAAAAGTCAACAAGCAACATGCTACCAAATAACATTTTAAAAGCCTTTAATTCATGTATATTGGGTTAAGATGGAGGAGAAGCTGAGTAAACTTTTCTTGTTGAATTTGATGGCTAAATCTATGATTGAGTGCTAATCTCAGGATTACCAAAAGTTATTATAAGGGTCTTTGTGAAGTCCTAATAAGTAGCACCGTTCCAAATTACCTGATTTTTGATTGATTTGAGAAGTAAGATTAAGTTGTAATAGGTGGAGGCCAAATTAGCAGTTTACTGATAAAGGTATTTTTGAATATTAACTTTTATGTAGGCTGAAAGGATTTGCTTTATGTAACAAAATTGCCAGGATTGTGCATGTTTACTTATAGTATGTACTCAGGACAGGCACGAACAAATACACAAACACATCTCATGGAGGCATTTGGCCAGGATTTATGATCTGAAATAAGAGAAGAGAACCCTTGATCCCAGTAATTAGTTACTCCCAATACAAAAAATGAAGAAGTTAGTGAAGAAAGTTCCATTTACTTCCTTAAGTAGGGGATTTCAGGTGACACCCAAAGTACTCTGGACAGAAAGGGACAGAAAGAGGGCAGTCATCTCAACCTGTTTAATCTCTCTTTGTATGGAAAGAAAAATCAGGTATAAAGAGACAAGATCTCCTTCACATCACTCAGTTATTTTCCTTTGGAAATTTTTAGTCTCTTGCCAAGTAGGAATAGAGCAATGTCATCTCTTCATGGGGACAATTTTGCTCCCACCTTTATGAGGTCAAAGAGCGCATTCATTGAACTAAATCAAAAGTCTCTGCACCTAAGACTGAAAGTCAACTCATTCGTTCATTACTCAGTACAAACCCTCTCCTTTTCATGGAATTTTTAGAGAGAAATTCGATGCCAAATATCAAATGCCATAGCAAATTCAAACCCAATGATGTTAATTTTAAAGGAATTAAAGTCAAAAATAAAAGTATTTGACCCTTGTCAGTTATATTCTAAATAAACTACATTATAAAATTCATCCTTATCTATTCACTGAATCTTGAATCTGAGTTAGAGGAATTCTTGATTCAGGAGCAGAGTGGGGTCTCTCAGCAGTTAGAGAGCTCTCTTACAAGAACAGCAAACAAAAACCAGGATCTCAGAAAAAGTGTTATCCCAGTACAAAATCCCTAGTGAGTTTTATGTTTAAGGATTATAATGAGTTACTTAGACACACAAAACTATTAAAACCTAGATCTCCACACTTCACATTTAGAAAACAAAACAATCTCCAGGTTCTAGAGCAGATATCTCAGGGGAAATTATTTTTCTCAGAATTCAGTTCTAACCTTAAATGTCACTTCACCAGGATACTTTTTATCTGTATAGAATGCATGACCTAACCTGTATACTTGAACTTAAGCGGGAGAAATCTCGGTAAGTTTTTTTTTTCATTGTGCATTTACCAGAACTTGAGGATGGAAGGAATGGAGAGGAAAAGGTATCTGTCTATAATGAATATCTTTTTTTAAGAAAATGGTATTTGGTACACTATTGCTTTCTTCAAAATTTAGAGATTTGAAATGCTGGAAGCCCCAGTCAACCATTCTGTATATTAAACTCTTTGTATGTTCTTTGTGAGCCCTTCAATGTTTGCATTTGAATGTTGCTTTTCTGGTGAGTGCTGCTGCTGAATATGGCCATCATTATCTTGTCTGCAAGCACTTCTAGTCCTGTGCCACAGTTTCTTCATAACTATTTTATAATTTTACATATGCATCAGCAATTTATGAGGGAGCTTGTTTCCCTAGAGTCTTGCCAACAGAGTCTGTCATCACAAATTGGATTTTGAGACAAAATAATTCATTAGACATGATCAGTTTAAAGTTGTATTTCTCTTATGGGTAAGTTTGAACATCCTTTAATATATTGAAGGGCCTGCCATATTTCTATTTTCCATGATATGTCTGTTTATACTTTCGGTTCAATTATTACCAGATTTTTTCTTTTCAAATTTTAGAAGCACTTTAGATCGTCTCTTAGCTCTGTGTGATTTAAATTGAAAATACTTTTTCTTCTGTTTTCCATTTATTTTGTTTTTGTTATTATTATTACTATTTCCAAAAAGGTGTTAAAATATATTTATTAAGATATCGTTTTACATGGCATTAAACTTTTTAGTGTAAAATTCCATAGGTTTTGATAAACTCATACAGACATGTAACCACTACCACCATCAAGGTAGAGAAGAGTTTCATAACCACTTGATAGACATTGAAAGTCTCTCACAATTTCAGGTAGGACTGACTTCACAGGGGAGGTATTATTATATGACTCGAAATTAACCAAAGTCAAAGTAACCTCTCTACATTCTAAAATCTGATATTGAAGGCCTCATTCTGGCCTGTCAAAAATTCACTAGGTTTTATTGTTTTGCACAAATACTACTTCTTTTTTCTTTGCTACTCATATTCTCAACCCGTGCACTAGAATAGGGGTTTTTGTGGATTTTTTTTTTGAGGGGATAATATCTTTCAATAGTCTTGATACTCACTGGTTGATATATTGTCACGATCACATCCCTAATTACATTTTATTCCTTTGAATCCCTCTGAAATCTGAAACAACTATGACCCTTGTGGAGATAATGGGGATAAATAAAATGTGTGACTTGTGTGACTTTTCTTCTTGTTTCACATCACATTCTTTCTAATACAGATTTATCAGCCCTTCACACATGAAAATAATAACTCTAGATGGAGAGTCAGGAAAATACCATCCCTCAGATGAGTGGGTATTTGAGTGACTGACCTTTACAGGATCTGGCCAAGCAAGAAGATGATTCATGTGTGCATTTAGTGGGTTTACTTAGGGGTCATGAAACACATTCCATGAATTGTTGGCTTTTTCCCAGTGATTCCAGTGAAGGTTTGTCTTCTAGAACTATTCTTACCTCACAATAGGCCCACTTGCCTAATGTTGTGATATGAAGGTGCAGGCCAGAAGTCAAATAGTCACAGAAAAGTGTTTGGTGGCAGCTGACATCAGAAATATGTAAGTAGTAGGGCCGTCTGGGTAGCTCAGTCAGCTAAGTGTTTGACTTCAGCTCAGGTCATGATCATGTGGTTCATGAGTTCAAGCCCTGCATCGGGCTCTGTGCTGTCAGTTCAGAGCCTGTAGCCTGCTTTGGATTCTGTGTTCCCTCTCTCTCTGACCCTCCCCCGTTCATGCTCTGTCTGTCTCTCTCTTTCAAAAACAAATAAATATTGAAAAAAATTTTAAAAAGACGTATATGTAAGTAGTAGAGGAGAAGCAAAATTTGAATTGTCAGAATCCAGAATTAGTCTGCTGAAAATTATAATAGGAGTGTCAGGAAGTCAAGAAAACAGCACCTTATTTTTCTAGATTTATTGTATTTATGGGTTTTGTTACATGTTTCAAATGTAATTTGTGGCGATTTGTTTCTCATTATAAATAAATCATTTCCCTCTACAATTAAGTTTGTATTTTAAATGTCATATTCGGGGCGCCTGGGTGGCGCAGTCGGTTAAGCGTCCGACTTCAGCTAGGTCACGATCTCGCGGTCTGTGAGTTCGAACCCCGCGTCGGGCTCTGGGCTGATGCCTCGGAGCCTGGAGCCTGTTTCCGATTCTGTGTCTCCCTCTCTCTCTGCCCCTCCCCCGTTCATGCTCTGTCTCTCTCTGTCCCAAAAATAAATAAACGTTGAAAAAAAAAATTAAAAAAAAAATAAATAAATGTCATATTCATGTTCTTAAAGGAAGGACCTCAAAACTATAATATCTGTGCTCCCCAAATCTGGATATCCCCTTCTTATGATCTGAATGTTTGTATGCCCCCAAATTCATATGTAGAAATCATAAGTCCCAAATGCTGATATTAGAAGATAGCGTCTTTGGGAAGTGGTTAGGTCATCAGGGTGGAGCCCTCATGAATGGGATTAGCATCCTTATAAAAAAGGGTCCAGAGGAATCCTTTACCCCTTCCAACTTGTGAAGATACAGAAAGAAGATAGTAATCCGTGAACTAAGGTGTGAAACTCGCCAGTCACTAAATTTGCTATCCCCTCGATCTCTTAATGCCAAGCCTCCAAAACTGTAAAAAATGAATTTGGTTGTTTATAAGCCACCCAGCCTATGATATCTTATTAAAGCAGCTCCAATAAATTGAATACTAATTGCTCTACTATTCACATCTCTTTCCACCAGCCAGGAGAGTCATAACCCATTTTTATTCTCTTGTGGACTTCCTTTGCCATGATTTTTAAGTCACTTCTTTCCATGTTACTTTGTGTTCTGTAATACTTTCAAAATCCTATGTAACACTTATTGTACCTCTCTTGGTACATTTCTTTCTCCTACTGAGTTAGGTACCATTTTCACCACCATTTTACAGATGAGAATACAGAGAATAGAGAGTTCAGTCAATATCTAGGTCAAGTTTACGTGATCATCTGAGGTCAAGTGTCTGTGTGCTTAATCACTGTGTTATCCTGGAATCATTTAATCACAAATACAAGTAATAACAACTCCAAGTTGTTGATTAACTATTTTATATCCTTTTATGTTTGAGTTATGCATATAAGATGGCCTTCCTTTCTTTTCTCTTATTCTTTTACCAATATCTTCTCAAAAATACAATGAATAATGTATATAAAAGTGTTCCATTGAATAATGTCTCATCAAAACTTTATCTTCAGAGTATCTTCTATATCATTTAATATAATGGAAGATAGGTATACAGGGTGGCTCAGTCGGTTAAGCGTCCGACTTTAGCTCAGGTCATGATCTCACAGTTCACAAGTTCAAGTCCCACGTCAGGCTCTGTGCTGACAGCTCAGAGCCTGAAGCCTGCTTCAGATACTGTGACTCCCTCTCTCTCTCTGCCCCTTGCCTGTTCACACACACACTCTCTCTCTCTCTCTCTCTAAAAAATAAATAAAAATTTAAAAATTAAAATTAAAATAATAGAAGATATTGAGAAGCGAAAATCTCACAGCATGTGTATAAACTTTGAAAATAAATGTGAATCCAGATTTTGAAGCAATTAGCAAGTCAGAATATTTATTAGGAAATAAAATTTTTGTTCTAACAACTGAGTGAATTTAGGGGATTTAGTTCCTTCACACATCTTGTCAGAGAATAATGAGATTTAATGCTTCATAAATTATAAAACAAGCACTGGTTTCAGAATGACATGAGTTTTGAAATGCTTTTGCAGCATGTACATAGTCACGAATAGCCCTTTGTCATCACTGGTTAATCACAAATGAGTTGAAGTCAGATCGGTTTAGTGTGTAGCAAGCTGCAACTGAAACTCTTTTTTATTGCCCTTCTGACTAGACAATATTCACTAAAGTGCATCTCAATAATACTAAGAACGGGGTTAATATATTTGACCCATATTAAAATTGCCTCTTGTTGAGTCTACATATACTGCAATTCATTATGATATAAATTAATGTTGAAAATGAAAAGCAAAATGAACCTATAAGGAAATGCTGATGTCTTTTACTTCCTCAATATATATATTTGAAACAGTTCTCTGAAAAGGGTCTACACAATGTATTTTAGCCTTGATATTATTAATAAAGACAGCCGCCAATGTCTTCCTGGGCTACACTAAGGGAATGATGCTATATATTTGCATAACACTTGAAATGTTGAAAGTTATTTCATAGATCATATGTTATTTATGCTCTATTATGAACATCTGATGTACTTTACGTAGATTTGGTATTCTTTTGCAGTCATTCTATAGTTGAAGAAACTGAAATTTGGAGATGCTTAAAAATATGCACATAGATTTATGCTTAGCTCAGCATAGGGAGGATCTCTCAAAAATTTGTTACTAATGTGTAGTTTCAGCTGCTTTTGCTTTTATCACACATTCTTATTTCTTAGCCATATTTGTGGTTTGTAAACATTTCAGAGATATTGTTATGAATTTTTTTTTTTTTTTGAGAGAAAGAGGGCGCGAGTGAGTCAGGGGCAGAGAGAGAGAGAGGAAAAGAGAGACAGAAAGTCTCATGAGGGGCAGAGAGAGAGAAAGAGGGAGAGGGAGATAAAGAAAGAAGGAGAGAGAGAGAGAGAGAGAGAGAGAGAACCCAAAGTGGAGCTCCAACTCATGCCTGTGAGATCATGATCTGAGCCGAAGTCAGATGTTTAACCAACTCAGCCACGAGCCACCCAGGCGCCCTGTTGTGAATATTTTTGAAAATTGTTTTCAGTTTCTAATGGATTAATGGTATTAATGTTTACTCTCCTCTATTTCTCAGATTTTAAAGGAGTTTCTTTTTTGGGGGAGATTATTCTTTTAAAGGTATAATGATTTATAACATTTCTCTTTATCATGTGTCATACCTTAATAATTCATGGAAAACACATCATATGAAAATTATTATATAAATTCTTGTATACTTACCTCTGATTTAATATGACATGTGTCATATCATCGCAGTGCAGGTGTATTTGGATATGACTTTCCTGGGAATCTCAGGATTCCCGCACCATTTTTTCTGGATATGCATTTAGCTTTGAAATATTGTCATTGCTTTTGCTATGCCTGATTTGTTTGCTTGGCAATAATAATAGTCCCTATTAGTTTAGTACTTTTATCATCAGTACTATCAAAAACAGGAGAACAGATTCTATCTAACCTGAATAATTTTAAATCAATCAAGTTTTCCTGTATATATATATAAATATATAGAGACTGTATATTTTTATTAATATGCATATATCTACTAATTCATATTCATTGCAATGAATGAAATTTACAAGTCAATTATTTACTCATAAATAACCAATATTTAGACAAGAAATTTGCATTTTTTAAAAATATACGAGTTGACCATTTCCCCAAGATCATCCATTTATTAGGAAAGTGGTATGTAGTTCTAATTTACATGAAAAAGAAAAAGAGGTAGCCGAAACCTACTGAAAAAACATAATCCATAAAATACTCAATTAGTATAGGAAAAAAAAATGTGCTTTCTTCTCCAAGTAACATATTTCAATACACTAAGGAGTAGAAGTACTGATTCCAACAGAGATAAATCCATTTGTTTCTTTACTTTTACTTATACTTAATATTGTTTACCTTATACATTAAAATCTTATATTTTAAGTGGTTTGTTATGTGACATTGTAACATAGCAGACATTTGAACATATATCTCAAAATTAACTTTCTTTTACACTAAAGGTCCTCTTTTGAACATACTACTAATTACTTTCTTGAGATCAAAATTTTTTATTCTGGACATGTTTCCAAGATTTATTCCTTCTCTATATCAAGTCAGTGAGAAAAATTTTTCTCCTGCTGGCATATATATAGCAACAATTAAGTGGATGATTAGAAAATTGCAAAATGTGTAATAATAGCTTCCATTTAGACAGTACCAATGTGTAAATTGCTGTTAATAAGTGCTTTATTTATTATGACTTGTATAATCTCCACAAGAGTTCTCCAACATATTATCGATATTATCCCCTTCTATATTTGAGGAAACTGAGGCACAGAGCTCTTAAGTAACATGATCCAAGTTCTTACAGTATTAAGCATGAGAAGGTTCATTTGAATCCAAGCTTCCTGACTCCAGAGTCTGAACCCTATGATGTCTTGCCTCTAAATTATATATTCTGATAATTTCATTCTATTATTCTATTCTATTCTTTTTATTCTATAAAATCTATTCTATCAAAATCTATTAATTAAAATATCACTAACATACAAACACAACAAAAAAGGATATTTAGTCTCTATTCCCACACAAGGAAAGTAAACCATTAATAATAGATTGATATCACTTTGCCGACTTGAAAATTGAAACATTGCTCTTCATTTTGATCACCTTAGATATTCTACTTTTCTCCTAATATATTATTTTTTTAGGAACTTGGTATTCATAAATTAAAATACATAAATGTAACTAATTAAACTAAAATTAGTAAATTGTCTGTACTGCTGGACTGATTCTAAGCAGGTGTTAATTGCATGTCTGAATATGCTTATAAATTTGCCATATAGGCAGGATTCT